TCAGTACTTGTTTTTGTTGAGTCTTCAGAGTGACAAGTCTCTCTAAACAATACTCTCAGTACTTTCCAAGCTAGACAATCAACATCAAACCAATTGGTAAAATTAGACCTACATGGAGTCACAGGTTTAGCTTTAGCACTGCAATAATTAATTAACGACAGAAATCCTGAGAGAATTCTTTCATCAAAATCATCATTAATAATTGAATCTCTCCATCTATGTATCACTTCAGAGTCAAAGAGGAAAGAAAATTCCCTTTCCAAGGATGGGGACCATTCAACTTTTTTCAAAACTTCCTCAGAGTCCATCATAGATTGGGAGGATGATATGACAGTGGTAGATGGTCACTTTCTGTATGTGGTTCGATAGCAATATTATCAACAAACGGCAAAAGATTAGATGAGTCCGAACAATAATCTATCACACTGCGAACCCTGTAACAAAAAAAGTAAAATCGGATGTAGCCGGAAATTTAGAGAGACCGTTATATGAGTTATACAAAATTAAATTAATCTAAAGCATGCTTTGTTGGTGAGAGTATCTTTGGAATGATGGGGCAAACACAGTTATAATGGGAGTAATTCAATCGTTTCAAGACTGAAGTGTGAGATCCATTTCTGGTTGTTACTGCCAATCTGGGCATTAAAATCACCAAAAATCATACGCTGGGCAGCATGGAAATTCTTAATCAAGGTCAAGACATAATCAGAAAACTTCTCCCATATAGTAGTCAGCTCCAACTCCTCATTTAGAGGGGCTAGGTAAACAATCAAAATAATAGTGCCAGAAAAGACAACAAGAATAGTTAGTGCCAGAAAAGACAACAAGCCTGGGCAATCGGTGGACAGGGTTCCAACAGGACCACCTTAATTGGTAAGTTGGGTTTCACCAAAATAGCCAGGCCTACTTTATAACGGCCCATAGAGTAATTCCTGTAAACAGGGAGATTAAAAACTTTAAAACCCTTCAGCTCAAAACTATCAACCATTCATGTTTCCTGAAGTAAGACACAATCAAAAGACAGTAAAAAAAATCGAAGTCATTCGCTTTACCCTTCCACCCAGATATGTTCCAGGACACAAAATGGATATTCCTTACAGCCACACTAGCCGTTAGTCAATCAATATTGGATATATCTTCTAGCACCCTGGTGTCATTGATAAAAATAGAACCATTACGTTGGGGTGCCCTTAAACCAGTTAAGGAAGCTTCCAGAATTGAGTGATTTAGGTCAGTTGCTCGGTTTGAGGGAGCAAAAAATCATTTGAAGCTTCCATCAGATGCAACTCGGGGGGTGGGGGGAGGTTTACAACAGTTTCATTTAAAGAGTCTGCTGAACAAAAATTCCTATCACCCTCAAAATTATGGTTGGTTATAGAGACAAAATTTTCCAGTTCCATAGAATTTTGCAACTGCCTTTTAGCATGATCATGTCTTTCAAGGATCACTTGTTGATCTTTCACAGGGAGGCTCCCAAATCACTGAAGGAGATAATTTTCTATTGAAATGTCAAAGGATCTATGTGCCATAGAGGGTGGGGCTAACGGTGCTTCATCAACCACATGATTTGGTTGGGGTTGGCTAGAGCACACTCTTTGAACCTTAAGAACACTCAAAATCTATTGTCTTGGCATTGAAGTTGATACCTTTCTCCAAGAATGGGGGATACTTTGCAGGCTCTCCATTGAAGGCAAATTAGGCAGCAGAGCATTGGTTAGGGTATTGATAAACACACACACAGGGAAAATCCCCTTTGTCCACAGGAACTTCTTTGACCTTAGGACTAATTAAGGGATGTTGGAGGATTGAAAAGTAAGCAAAATTTATTGCATTTGTGACATATCGTTGAGAAGTTCGATAGCAGTCAAATCAATTTTATGATAGTTTAACTGAAGTAGGTCACAAAGATGAGATTTAATTAAATGTCTGCTTCTCCAACATGGGGTCTTTCTGCCATAAGGACAGACTGTAATACAGACCCTACTGGGTTGTAGGATCAATTGTTGGGCATTAATTTTATTTCCTGTACTGTCATCAACCACCATATGGGATCTCCAGGGGTCTGCAACCTGTGCTGCCAGCAGACAACCCTTTAAAGGTGCTAAAACTTCAGTAGAAGTTACTCCCAACAGGGCTGAATGGGTCTTATCCATTAGCACCGATAATCTTTTTATTTCCGAAGCAAGGTCAGAAATTTGATCTTCTATTCCCCTTAGTTTCTTTAATATACAATCTACGGCTGAGTTCGGACTGGCCCGATATAGGCACGTTTCAGAAACATTCCACAACCGGTTTAAAGGGGTCATTCACATAGGCACATCTGTCAGGCATTCCCCACCTGCACTCAACCCATCTTGTAACACTTCGCTCCTGAGTTTAAAAGATACCTAGTGAAAGTGGTAGCAAACCCTGGAAAGCGTTATTATCCCGCGTCCATCTCGCGCCAAAAAAGTATGAACGCCAAAAGCCACATTTTTCTTATGTGCTTATGCGCATAAGCACATATCTCCAGATTACAAAAAAGAAAGCTGCGCCTTACAGCTGTGTCTCTGGGCCAACAGTGTGAACGCTCCCTTGTGCCTCCTCCCGGTATGCTCCCGCATCAGTCGCTGCAGTGTGAACGGGAAAACCCAGAACAGTTTGTTCCAGCTCTTTTTTGCCAGGACGCCCTCCCGCTTCAAACTGCTAGTCTGAACTCTGCCTACAGTGCTTGCAATGAGTCTGTTCATGGAGAGTTCATTAGAAGACACAGTTCTTTCATCATTATCACAACAGATATATGGCTCATGTTGTTTTTGCTGTGCCTTTAAAGTCTCCACCCCAGACTGGAGTTTGGTGTCTTCAGCTGCTTCCTCCTCTCCAACAAATGCTGACTCATCTTCCAAAAGGAAGAAGCAGTTTGAAGTTTTTATGGCAAAGGACAACAAAACTGGACCAGTCTTATTGTTTAAGGGGGGAAAGTTATATCTTAGACTGTTTACTGATGGGCAAGGGAACCACCTCCTCTGTTTCTCTTGGCCATTTGCCCAAAGCCATTAAAAGAATACAACAGCTGCTCTGATAAGTAATATAAATAAAAGAAATACCAAACACTAGGACTTAAAAGCTTCTGATTATAGAGGTTAAAAAAGGAGAAAGGTAAAATCCAAGGAATAAGCTAAAAATATCTGCACTCCACACCAACTGGAACCCACTAAGGATTACCTGCTCTTGAAGATAATCTGAAAAAAATGCAGCTGGTGCAAAATGCAGTGGCCCTTTGCTTATCTAACTGTTGGGACAATGTCACTTCTCTGCTGAGGTTTCTCCACTGACTGTCTATTAGCTTCTGAGTCCAGTTCAATGTTCTAGAGCTCACCATTAAAGCCTTTCATGACCTGTGATCCACAGCATTGGAAGGACTCCCTCTCCCCGCATGTTTCTGTTAAGTAGCTTCATTCTTCCTGGCAAGGTCTACTGTCAGTGCCCTTCTTATTTAACACACCTTCAGCAACGGTTTGGGCCTGAGTCTTTTCAGTGACTGCCTCATTGCTCTGGAACAACCTTCTGGAAGAGCTCAAATTGTTTTATATTGTTATTACCTGTTATGATGCCCCCATCCAATCCCCTCCCTCAGAGATGAGATTTTCCCTCCATTTTTCTTTCCCTTTCTGAGTGAGCCACCCTGCATATGTTTTCTTATTTCCTGAAGTACTCTGGGTGTCCCACCATGTCACAGTATGATATTTTGGATGTTGACTCAGCCTAGGAACCTGAGGGAAGGATCGAGAGCCCCCTTTAAGAGCCCCCTTTAACTTAAATTTAATTGACACTCAAGGTATTTTGAAATTCCAAATTAACAAAATATTGTATTCAACAGAGGGGAAAGGTCAGGTGAAATCAGGGGTAAAATTTTCGAGGTAACTTAATATAGAACTTTGAAGAAAACAGTATATGCACGGACTTGAGTTCATATGTTTCAGGCTATTGATAGTTTCATAACTTTTCCCAGTGACTTAGGATCTTTAAGATGAGAGGCTTTTGTTCCAGTGTTTCCCAAACACTCCAGTACACTTTCTTCAAATATTTCCTGACTCTTTTGTTTTTCATAATGCTGGGACACTCTATCCAGTTCCCAAACCCCAACTCTTTACACACCATTACTCATCTTGAGTTTTAATTGATTCTTAAGATTTTGGGCTCTTTTTGTAGCAGGAACTCCTTTGCATATTAGGTGACACAACCCTAATGCAGCCAATCCTCCCAGAGCTTACAGTAGCCCCTGTAAGAAGAGGTCTGTAAGCTCTTGGAGGATTGGCTACAGGAGGATTGGTGTGTCGCCTAATATGCAAAGGAGTTCCTGCTACAAAAAGAGCCCTGGCAGCAAGTAACCACACCCAACCAGGGATCTCTCCACACCACAGATCTATCTCCCTGTTTTAACTGGGGTAGGGAAATTTCTTCTCTCCCTTTTCTTGTCTTCAATGGGAGTCTTCACATAACTTCCCACGCTTCCTTGCCAACTTTCCCCCAGTCTGTGTTAAACTGCTCTCAGTCAGAGCTGAATTCAGAATCTGTCAGTTGTTCACCCTTCTCAGCTAGGGCTGAAATCAGACTGAATTTCTCCTCAGCATCCAGCTCTCAAGCCTTTCTTTGCTCAGCTGATGCTAACCAATCAGATTCCTTGGAGCAGCCTGTCACTCAAGGCTCTCTGGCTCTATGAAGAATTAACCCTTCATAGTTCTTTACCTGTTTGTACAGCACTTCTAAGATTTTAAAGTGCAGTCCATCACACCTGTCTTTGGTCACCAAATGCTTAGGAGAAAGGTGGTCATATACATATTTAAAATAAGTAAATAAATGTATACAATCTTAATTACAAACAATTTAACAAAATGCCTAACACCACCATGCCTTTTCAACACTTTTCACCATATGTCATTCTTATGAATGTAAGATATTTATGTACAGGGGGACTATAATATTGTGATCCTCATGTGAGCTATTTTTTTGTACACTAGTGTTCCTTCCTAAGCCACAGCCATGGGTGACGCTGAGATGGCAGCCTTCGGGCCAGCTGCTCCTTTCCTCCGCAAGTCAGAAAAGGAGAGAATTGAGGCTCAAAATAAGCCGTTTGATGCCAAGACATCGGTCTTTGTGGTGGATCCAAAGATCTCTTTTGCGAAAGGTGCTGTCCAAAGCAGGGAAGGAGGGAAGGTCACAGTTAAGAAAGAAGGTAGTTCAGAGGTGAGCAGAGACACATCAACCTATATAGAAAAAACATAATGGTTTTCTTTGTTCTGCCCTTCATGCTTCTAGCTGAATGAACTTTTGTTTCCTTGCAGTCTGTGACTGTTAAGGATGACCAAGTTTTTCCTATGAACCCTCCCAAATTTGATAAAATTGAGGACATGGCCATGATGACCCATCTCAATGAACCTGCTGTCCTATATAACCTCAAAGAGCGTTATGCAGCCTGGATGATCTATGTGAGTACAGTTTGAAGCTTCCCAGAATATTCACCGTATAGAACATTATTCCACAGGGAAGCCAATTTACTATCTACTTTTCCTCCACAGACTTACTCAGGTCTCTTTTGTGTCACTGTCAATCCCTACAAGTGGCTGCCAGTGTACAACCCAGAGGTGGTAAATGCCTACAGGGGCAAAAAGCGTCAAGAGGCTCCTCCCCACATCTTCTCTATCTCTGATAATGCCTATCAGTTCATGTTAACTGGTGAGTAAGTCAACCTAAAGCAAAATGATGGACAGTTTTCTAGAATGAGTCCATATCCTTTCCAGAAAGTATAATGCATGAGCAGTTGCAGCAAAGGATTATATCTGTGCTCATCATATAAAGAAAAAATTATGTATTGATTGATTTTATTTAAAATGTTTCTCTACTAGCTTTCTATGCAAATTTGGTGCCCAAGGTAGAGAACATCAAAAATATTAATGCTATATATATGTGTGTGTTTGTGTGTGTATTTCAAGAAAAGCATATAAACACACATATATGTGTGTGTTTGTGTGTGTATTTCAAGAAAAACATATAAACACACAAGCAAATATAACATCAAAACCAGGAAGGATGGCCAATAACAGTGGTTGTGGTATGCCAAGCAAAACAAAAGAAACATAATGTAACATCTAAATTCTAACTCCAACACGGCAACATTTCAGAACATTATTCTTCTGTGTTACAATACTGCCCTGACCTGGATAGCTCAGGTTAGCCCAGTCTAATCAGATCTCAGAAACTAAGCAGGGTTGTCACTGGCTGGTATTTGGATGGGAGACCTCCAAGGAATACCAGGGTCAGGACATAGAACCAGGCAATTTCAAACCACCTCTGAACTTCTCTTGCCTTGAAAACCCTACAGGGTCACCATAAGTCAGTTGTGACTTGATGGCATCTTCCACCACCGCCATATTGCAATATTAGCATCAATTTACAATTAAGTGAGGGACCTACATACCTGAGGGACTACCCTTCCCCACATGTTCCCCAGAGAGCACTGCATTCAGGGTCCCAAAATCGAGTGGCCATCCTGGGTCCCAAAGATGCCAGGCTGGCCATAACCAGGGCCAGGGCCTTTTCAGTGGTGGCTCCATACTGGTGGAATGAGCTCCAAGGAGATATCAGGGTCATGCGGGAACTTATACAGTTCTGCCGTGCCTGTAAGACAGAGCTCTTCCACCAGGCCTTCAATCAAGGAGCCACCTCCAACAACTGAAAGGTATAGAGCCTTGGCCCTTGGATTTACCATCAACAGTCTGTGCCTACCACATAAATTAATAGACCAATGAGCATTAGGACAGACCTTTGAATACACCAGCAGGATTGTTGCTGCCATCGTTAAGCAACACTATTAGTGTTAGATCTAATGTTTACTAGCACTTTATGATATTGGATTGTTTTAGAAGGTTTTATGATTGTTTATAATTGTAAGCCGCCATGAGCCTGCTACAGTAAGGAGGGTGGGGTATAAATTAGATAAATAAATAAAATACTCTACATGGCAAGATCCTTCTTTGAAGGAAGAGCTATAAAGTGCACAGAAATCGTAGCAAAACCCAAGATTCAATTTAATGGCAAACATCATTATAAATAAACCATTGTCATTTTTTCTTCCCTCTTTTTGCATTGAAATGCTCTAACTTCAATATCTTACCACCTGAGGTTTTAAAAAGAAAAAAGAGTAACAGTTTAAGTCATTATGATTTAAGATTAGCAAGCAATCCAAATATATATATTAAAAACCAAATATGTTAATTTTTTCTAGATCGTGAGAATCAGTCAATCCTTATCACGTAAGTATACTTCTGCTCTAGCTGATAACAAAGCTTGGTGTGCATTTCACTGGTTTATAGTGTGCTGTTTTTCATCTTCTTGTCTTGATAGCGGAGAATCTGGTGCTGGAAAGACTGTAAACACAAAACGTGTCATTCAGTACTTTGCAACAATTGCAGTAGCTACTGATAAGAAGAAGGAGGAACCACAACAAACAGGCAAGCTAAAGGTGAGTTATAGATCTGGGAGAAGGTGACACTTCCCTTTTTGTTCACTGTTATATAGAGTTAAAATAGATAACTTGGAAATAATACTTTTGCAGGGGACCCTTGAAGATCAAATCATCAGTGCTAACCCCTTGCTAGAAGCCTTTGGGAATGCCAAAACTGTAAGGAATGACAACTCCTCCCGCTTTGTAAGTCAGAAATATATTTTTTAATTTATTTGTTAAAAGATTTATATCTTGCCTTGCCTGCTTTGGGAAGCTAAAAGCCAACCACTGCAAAATATGTTTACAGTCATATGCTTAGATTTATGCCATATTTCCTGGCATTTAAATACGGGTGATTTTTTAAAAAAAGTTTTAAAATCTTAAATAAACAGAAAAAAGAACAAGAATGAGGAAAAAAACTTGATACTGATGAAATATCATCCAAGCCCATGTAGGCCAGTTGGTAAATTGTTTGGCTAGGGTTTGGGTTAAGCCATGCTCACTTGGGTAGCCATAGGTAATCACTATTTTTCAGCCTTACTTTTTTACAGTTAGTGCAAGAATAAATTGATTAGTAACAATAAAGCCCTGGGCTTAAAAATGGAATTATTCATTCTAGATAGCAGAAACAGGCAAATATCAGTTTATAAAAGCAGCAGATACGCTTCTCCTTTCCTAAAAGAAACATTCTATACATTTCAAGTTTGTGCAGGTGTAGGGGTTCTGACTAAAATGGTGG